AAGGAAAGGAAAGGAAAGGAAAGGAAAGGAAAGGAAAGGAAAGGAAAAAGAAAAAAAGGAAAGAAGAGGGGATAAGTTCTTTTGTGGTGAAGGGCACAACAAGTTATTTGCCAGTTTTACCAATTCAGTAACTTCACATGGAGCTGGCGTTCCAAATTTCAGTGCATGGCAGGATGGATGGAGGATGAACAGGTCCCTTAAAAGCTGGAGTGGACTCTACCCTGGTCCCCACCATCTTCCCAAGTAAGGAGAGTCAGAGGATATCATCTTAGTGGGGTGTAAACCCAGGAATAGACCATTCTGGGGGTAGCAGTGTCCAAGGTTCTCCCCAGATGTCTTTCATTCTTGGAAAGTTGACTGGCAAGGGATCAAAAACCTAAAGAAAAGAGGTAACCACAGAACAGGTTGGGTGGCAACAGCCTCAAGCATAAGCCAGCCGCTAAATGCCTTCCACCGCCCCTTCCACCACCCTCACCAGACTCTACCAATTGAGGCTGCCCTGCTTTTCTCTATCCTGCCCTGGCTCTGGCTACAGGACCAAGAGAGAATCCATAAACGTAAAGTAAGCAGAGGCTGGAAAGGACTTTCTGAGGAAGGCTCATCTTTCGACTCACCCTCGGCAGGAGTAGAAAGGAAGTTGGCTTTTCCCACCCCAGCCCTGAGTTAAAGCATGACCCACCCACCCCACCGATTCCCCACAGGGAGAGCGTACCTGACTTCCCTTCTGAGGCTGTGGCCTCAGAGTGGAACAATGCTAGCTGAGACACACATCGGAAACAAAACCTAACTGACACAGTAAACAGGCAAGAAAGGGCAGAACAAAGCCCAAAGCACCTGCAATTAGAGTCGTTGTGAATTCCTGACACACCCCCACTGAAAGGTTTCTCCAGCCTCAGAGCACTGAAAAGACCCAGAACAGGAACTGACAAAACCACAGTGAAACTCCACACACTGAATACAAATCACGCGAAGCTAGACAGAAGCAACAGGAGAAAAGGCCACTAAAAGAAAAGGTAAGAATATAATATAGCAGACCAAAATACACAGTAAAAAAACTAATTGACTTTTGACAAATATGACCTTGTCACACATATTAAAATTATTGTCTCCTATTTTGGGTAAAATAAGATGCATACACTAAATGCATGCCATAGAATGTTCTAGACCAAAGTGAGATTAACATCCAAAAAAGACAATAGGCCAGGTGGTAGTGGGTTCCATTTTTAACTCCAGCAGAGGCAGGAAGATCTCTTGAGTGCAAGGTCAGCTTGGTCTACAGAGCGAGTTCCAGGACAGGCTCCAAAGCTAAGAGAAACCCTGTCTCAAAAAATAAATAAATAAAAAGACAATAGTAAGTACATAAATAAAACCATATAAATATCTCTCAGTAGATTTCCATATGCCAGATGTTACAGAAACAATCAAAAAACAAATGAAAATTTGAATTGCATGTAAACTGTTTATGACCCTGTAAACAGAAAGAAGACAGAGCAAAATCACCCAATTAATATAACTGGAATATAATAAACCAAAGCTGCATGATATAACCTGTCGGCAGGCATCGCCAGTACAGAAAGAAGAAGAAGAGGAGGAGGAGGAGGAGGAGGAGGAGGAGGAGGAGGAGGAGGAGGAGGAGAAGAAGAAGAAGAAGAAGAAGAAGAAGAAGAAGAAGAAGAAGAAG